GGGGGTGTAGCATACTTGGTGGTAATATTGGTACAACTGCACCTGAACTCTTTCAAACATTATTAGTTGTGATGGGTGGTCTTTTTCTTAAAGGGGTAGTGCAGTATTTTATCGTACATTCTAACAGGCAAAAGTATTTTGCCGCCTTTGAAACTACACATGGATTATTTTAGGCTCTTGAAGTTCTGGTGGATGGATATAACCTTCATCTTGTTTATTCGCCTTTTCTCCTGCCCTCATAGGACGGCCCTGGCTTCTACACCACCAGGTGTCTGGCTACCATGATGGCAGAAGCGGTCCGAGCTCTACAGGTAGTCACTCGTTTTTCGCCCCCCCCCCCCCCAGAAAGCAGAGCGCCCTTGTGCCCAGTGGGAGGGTTCACACTGCTGTTGTGTCCCCCTTAGGAGGGCATGGGCCCCAAGAAACTGGACTCTGTCACCACCAGTTTTGGCTTTCCAGTTGGTGCTGCCACCCTGCTGGACGAGGTTGGCATCGACGTCGGCACCCATGTGGCCGAGTACCTTTCCAAAGCCTTTGGGCCACGTTTCGGGGGTGGCGATATCGAGGTTATGAAGGCCATGTTGGAGAAGGGGTTCAAGGGTAAGGCACGTGAAGGAGACCGCCCGATCTCCTGGCTGAGCTGCGAACGCTTCGTAGACTATTTCAATGTTTGCATTCGCCTGTAGGCCGCAAGTCAGGAAAGGGATGTTTCATCTACGAGAAGGGATCGAAGAAGAAGAAGGTCAACCCGGGAGTTGAGGAGATTGTGAAAAAGTTCAAATTGGCCATACCAGCATCTGTGTAAGATGGTCTGCCTGGCGTCACCCCAACCCGCTCTGTTTGTCTATAAATGGCACGATGAACGTTGGATACTGTATCCTCAGATCTTCAGACTTGGACCTGCAGTTCCGCCTGGTGTCCAGGTTCGTGAACGAGGCCGTGATGTGTCTCCAGGAGGGGATCCTGAGTGGCCCAGTGGAGGGGGACATCGGAGCCGTGTTCGGATTGGGGTTCCCTCCCTGCCACGGAGGTGAGAGGCAGCCAATCTGGTGACCACAGTGTCTTACCTGGATACCGTTACGAGAACCTATCCCCGTCTCTAGGGCCGTTCTGGTTCGTGGACTCGTTCGGGGCAGACAATCTGGTGCAGAAGATGAGGAAGTTCGAGGAGGTGTACGGGAATCAGTTCACGCCGTGCCAGCTCTTGCTTGATCACGCCAAGGACAGCAGCAAGAAGTTCCACAAGTAGCTAGTACAAGCAGCTGCGGCCAGCGTCCGGCATTACGCAGCTCTGCCATTTCCCATGGGAACCGAAGTTTGCCTTGTTCGCCAATCCTCTGTTTGGCTCTCAGTACTCAAAGTACTCTGAGTACTGCGTCGGCAGCTTTTGATCATAAAGCGCTTGGATGTATTGCCAAATGGTTCCTTCCTAGTTGCAGGAATCTAGCCTACAATTATGAATGTACTCTGCACTTTTTTGCTTGTTTTGGAGTTACGGGTTAGTGCAGGTTTAACGGTCATGCACTTTAATTCAATTCAATGAAGGAACAAAATTAAGGTAACCAATGCAAACTAGTCTGCACTAGTGTTTTTGAGTGACGGATACATGATTCTGGTTTATCAAATGCAGTAAAATTTAAAAAAAAGAACCACGTTACTGTATAATTTTGTATGCTATTTATTTTCTTCTAATCCATAAGGATTAAAGCATACAGAAAATAAAATTTCAGTACAATTGAAATAACGCTACGGTTGTTAAATATTATTTAATAATATAATGCTCTACAGAAGGGAAATAAAGTCGATCCATAAATATACATACAAACTTTTGGGCACAAAGATGTTAAAACCCAGTAATTAAACTGTAATTTACAGCCATCTGACAAACACTATACACAGACAGCAGTGATTAGTAAACTCAAATTACAGTCCTTTAATACAGTGTACTTAATTACAGGCATGTTCTCATGGTCGTACAAAAGATGCTTGCTTCCCTTTTTAAGAGTTCTGCTGCAAGAAGTTTATTTTATATATAAAAAAAGTGGTTGGAGAAAATTTGTACTTGTGTTGAGAGAGGAACCACGCTGTTCTGGAAGGAGTTCTGGCAAATGCCAGGGGTTCTGGGATCCATCCGTGCGGTTGCCTAGCAACGAGGCCCAGGGTACAACTTTGCTGTGATTTCTCAGAGTTTGTCCTCTTGGCTTCAGCAGGAAGGGCAGCACAGACGTGGGTTCGTGGGTGGCAGGTTAGTGGCCAGCGTGGGCCCTAGCACCTGGAGAACCCCAAACTTAAAACGGGAAAAAAAAACTTCAACATAAACAACCGTTTGTGCTGACGGCAGTCTCAGGAGTGTGCGACCCATTCAGCTGCGAGAACCACCCGCACCCGACTGCATGAACCTCTTCAGTCAAAGGTCTAAAGGTCATTCCAGGTTGGGCTTGTATTTAAATAAATGGAAAAATTAACATTAAGCTTCTGCATTTAACATTGTGTTTTACAGACTTTTAGATTCGACTCACTTCAAGTCCACCAAGTCCTGGCTTCAGCCGGACCTATAATTCACATTAAAAAGAAGAAAAAAAAAGACGAAACTTACTCCAAATCAATTCACACGGAAGCTTTTTCCACAAATAATGATTTTAAACCACAAGGCACATGAAATGATTCATCAGATGATTCATAAAATCATTCATAAAGCTCGGACACACAACATCGACTCAGCGTGCAGACACTGTCCTTTGGGAACACATGGCCATATCGTTTACCGGTGGTTTAATTCCCTGCGCAGACACCCGTCAGGTTCTAACTGAACCCAGAATGAGGGTGACCTCTAAACGGCCATGGGGCAGGAATAGCAGTAGCGGGAGGCTGCTAGGCCTGTGTTAGTGACATTTCTGCTGTCGTGGGGCTCGGCCCCCCGGCCCTGCACAGGTCTGAACCGCGGCCCTCACAACCACAACCACGGTCAAGCTGCGTTTAGATCTTGGGCCTCCAGCCTTTGATGAACTGCATGATCTTCTTGACCTGCAGCTTGGTCAGCTTGAAGTCGTCGGACAGGATCTCCTCTGTGAGCTGCACGAAGATGCTGCCGTCGATGCGTTCCCTCACGAAGAAGGCCACCACGTCCTCCGACAGGCCGATGAAGCGCAGGCACTTAGAGACTTCCTCCACAGAGAGCATGGAGAGGTCCGAGGGGGGGTGCCACATAGGCCCCTCCCCGGTAGTCTGGGCCGCGCTGGGGGCATCCCCGGAGGGGGTCGAGGAGGAGCTCTCGGAGCTGCACTTGGTGGACGCTGGCGGGACCTCGATGACGCCCTGTGTGAGGTAAACCCTGGTGATGCCGCCCTCGGCCCCCCTGACGACGGCGGGGGAGAGAGGGGCCACGCTCCTGATGACGATGTTTTCAGCCTCAAAGCCTTTGGCTGGCCGGGGAGGGGGGGTTGGCCCGGTCCCCTGGCTGCCCTCGCTGCCTTTCAGGGTCTGTTCATTCTGGCTGCCTGTCGTGTCACGCCCCGCCTTGGGGGCGGCGATGTCGGGCGATATGCGGCTCACGCAGGAGTCAAAGGTGTCTGAGGACAGGGAGGGGGGCCGTGGCCGGTCCCTGCTGTCCAGCCACTCTGCTGGGGACGAGGACAGACTCCGTCCGTAGCCGGGGTTGGCGAAAGGGTTCAAGGCCCCGAAAGGGGCGAAGCGCTTTTGGGAATGCGGGGGCTTCAGTCTGGGGCAGCTGTAGTAGCTCTTGTGCGTGGAGTCTGTGCTCAAGAGCGGTGTGGAGCGACCACTGGCCACGCTGGGCGTGCTGTCTGAGAAGGCCCAGGGGTCCGACCAGGAAGCCTGGGCGGGCTGCACCCCGGGGCTGCCCCCACCCCCGGTGAGTGGGCGGCTGGCCGAGTCGGTCGCCTTACAGTCCCCCCACGTGCAGGGGTAGCAGTAGAGGGAGTAGGAATCCGGGGACGGCGAGCAGCTGCCACTGCGAGGACCGGAGCTGCAAGGGTCAGCAAAGGGGGATAGGTGTCAACACAGCTGCAGCAACACACCACAAGGGGGCGCTGTGCCCACTCTTCCTGTTATGCTCTGTTAAGTCAAGGTGTTTGTCATTTTTCCATGTTTCTATTTATTTATAATGGAAGAATTAAAACATAATTCATCCACCCCTCACCATATATAAGCAATAAGGTGGGTAGAAGGTGAATTCAGACCAGTGGATGCAGGCTAATCACAGAAATGTAAAGCATACAATATCCCTCTTAATACTCCACGAAGAGGGCGGAAATTAACACAGACAGCTGCAGTTCGGTGATTAAAACGTCAAGCATGAGTCAAAGGAGGCAGTGAAGAGCCGTCGGCACGGGGGAAGTGACATTTACAGCACTGATGCTGCGATTGTGAAACGGGTAAAGCGGGTTAGTTAGCTGGTAATGGGAATCATTAGGCAACGGAGGAGCTCAATGCTGCGTTTTGTATGGATCCCTAGAAGAACTTCAAAGGAGCAGAGTGAATCCGGCTGGGCTGCTTCATTTTCCGGAGGGCACGTCACAGGAAGCTGGCCGGCAGAGATTCAATTTATTCAGTATGGGGGGGGGGGGGATGATTGCTTGACCAGCCCGCAAAGCCCTGGGACACTGGAGCTGCAGAGATACAGCATGGGAATCGCTGTGCGACCGGCATCGCAAACCAAAGCAACAGCTCATCATAATAGACTATCCATGCATCCTTTTCCCAACCACTTACCCAGTAATGATAATAATCATAATAATTTGAACCCACAACCCAGGGTTGTGGGTTCAAATCGTTCCTCTGGGTGTCAGGCACTTGGCTTGATCTCCCCCAGATCTGCATGTTTCTCCCACACGCTTTGTGGTTTCCTCACGCAGCCCAGACAGCTAGCCTAAATGGCGGCCATTGCATATACACATATCGGCTCTGCCATTCAGGGGGCCCCCTATGCTGCTGGGGAAATGGATTCAGGCCCTCCCTTCCCCATGGCAAACTTGAAGTCATGAAGATGTTTCTTTTAAGCTAAAGAAAGTTCCAGACCATTCAGATATCTTGAAAAGTATAGACGTCATAAAACTGGGCGGGGGGGGGGGTGTGTGAACGGGAACAGGAAGTGCATGCTCTGCTTGGGCATTACCATGGCAACATCACTAGTCCTTTCAGCAGACTCTGGCTTGCGCCCCTAGATTTCATGTAACAATAACTGATGAGCCCAGGATGAGGCAATATTTTTAGATATTTCATCTGAAACCGTATTGCAGCATGAAGGGGCAGAGTGCGTAGTGGCTATGTGGGCAAATCGCGGCACCCGGGACACTCACACATCCTGAAGCCCCGATGAGTAGTAGGAGAGGCCGGGGCTGGGGGTGCCGGAGGCCGGCGGCAGCTGGCACTTGGGGAACCGCGGCGGCACCGGTGGGCTGGGGGCAGGGCCTCCTTTGGCAGCCCGTGGCGGGACCGGGGGCGCGTTGAGGAAGCGGCATTCCTCCTTCACCTGTGCCAGACACGGGAAGAAGCTGTCAAACAACCGGAAACAAGAAGAAGGAGCTTGTGACGAGAGTAAGTGACAGAGACAGGGATTGTCTGATAAGAGGAGTGATGAAAGAAAGGTGAGCAGGAAGATGTACATGTTGCACAGTGAACACATATCCCACAATGCCCTGAGGCACAGCTGTGTGTAAAGAGGGGCTTTTTTGTTGTCCTGGCTCACAAAGAGCTGCACATGCCAAGGTGATCACCTGGATACAAGCTATATTTATGGGGTGGGGGACCCACCGTGCAGGATTGTAACTGGACCCCCTGTCAGCCAAGTGTACCCCCCAACACACATAAGCGGAAATGCCAAACTGCAAGGGAAAAAAAAACATCTCTCCACATTCACATAATTTAATAACTCTTCATTATTTAAAGTGTCACTTCACAAAAAACACACCGGATAAGAATTCATGAGTTTCCTCTTCATACTTTGACCGGGATTAAATCCACCAGGTTCTTCACATGCTTTAAAAATCACAGTGACAGATTTATTGTGCCATGTGGTGTTCTGTATCTCTGATAGGGAGAAAAACTCGACCAAGTCAAAGTCTCCCATTTCTATGAGACAAATGGAATAAAGGAGGATGGAAAGCGATGGCAGGGGCCTTGGGGGGGGGGTTAGCCTTTCCAGCCCTCAGCATGGGTATCCACACACACTTCACACAGTAACCTCATTCCTTCTGTTTACTCTCGGTCAGTCTGTGCCGCCGAAAGGTTCCAAATACCCACAGTCCGTCTTGATTTTTAAGTCTGAGGGCAGCTCGGATATGTCCTGGCGTGTGTGCCCATAAACGCCATTGTCTCGGGAGCGAGGGGCTACGCATGGCATTCAGAGAGTGTTATTTACATCTGACCGTTCCCCTCGTTCCTCAAGTACAGCAAACAGCCCATCATCAAACACTCTAGGCAGGGTCTTATTTACATTCTGTGTCCATCTGCCCAGGGGCCGTCAGCCAATGAACCGTGGGAACGAGGTGGCCTCGATCCCTGTCTTAATTACCGTGCTCGTCAATCTACCTGGAGACCGCTGACCTGGTAACGAGGCAGCCTCACCACAAGGCCTTATTTAGTCTTAGGGTGCTTTTCCACTGCATCAGGTACCGTACTTTTGGTACTTCAGGTGTTGGTTTTCCACTGGCATAAAAACTGGTACTGGCGCTGTATGACATCACAACATGAGGCGGGGTTTGTTGTACTGAATTCCAAAAATGGCTGTAGTATATTACAGGACTGGATGATGTGTGATATTAATGGCAACATTGCATGTTATGCACATCCAATTCTTAAATCGCTAGTCAGCTAGACTGAGATCAGATTTTTTTCGTACCTTCAGACTGTACGGACATTAATATCGCAGAGGGGTTAGTTTTGACCAAAACATTTTTACTCTGTAAAACATTTTGCCGAAAATATTTTTACTCTAGGAAACAAAACTGCAAGAACTGCAATTTTAATGATTGTTCCTTTTGAAGATTACCTGGTATATGTTTAAAAATCAGTTTAAAGTTTACCGCTGCTGCTTTCGCGTGAGTGCTGCATGCGCTCCCCCCAGCCAATCATAATAGTTTTCATTCTTGCAGTTTAAATTACTCATAGATGGGTTTTGGAAAAATTTATTAACTCTTTTTGCTTCATTACTATCCCAATATTTATTACAACAAAATCACATTTCAATATACACTCACCTAAAGGATTATTAGGAACACCTGTTCAATTTCTCATTAATGCAATTATCTAATCAACCAATCACATGG